ACTGGGTTCTATCTTCAAAATTACGCGCATGCAAGTCATGCAGCACCTGCGCAGGCATATCCAACTCAAGACTGGATTATTGATATTCGAGATTCAACAACTCTTCGGCAAGTTCGAAATCAAGATTTAAATGCAAGCAATGGAGTTATCACATCTACAGAAACACAAGCACCGGAAACCCGTCGAAATCGGTGCTCCGCGGGACGTCGCCAGGCAAGAAGAGGCTGTGCTGCCAGCACGTCTGCAATAGGACCGGCGCCACCTTGGGCCTTTTCCCATAGCCAGCTAGGTCAGGTGTCGATGGTGCTCGCAATTTCAATGGCCACAAGTACATCAGCGTTCCGGGAAAGACAAACTTTCATCATTGTTCAGAGCGTCGTCCATGGGATGCTAGAGAAGGAGTGGCCATTGCGACACACTACCAACTAGGTGCACGAAGTGAGATGAAAAGCACCTCGATTGGGAGCATTTCTCCACGATCCGACACTGTTCCCGAGCGTGATACTGCATTGTACCTGGTGTACATTGCGTGAATAGATGCCAAGGGTATGTATTGCAAGATGCTAACGAGTCGCAGTGGCAAGAGGGTGAGCATCATCGCGCGCAACCTCATCGTCTGTGAGCTCTTCTTCCTTTTCTATACCGGCATGCCTGGGTTCGCAGTGGCAATGGTGCCAGTCGAGGAGGGTCAGGAAAGATCATGAGGCTACGATCTCGAGTCTGCATCCAACGGAAGCGACTCACCTGCCAAGCAAGCCTCGCCGCTTGGCCCAATGCCAGCCGTCGCTATAAGGCTGTATCCTCCAAGGCGCCAGCACACTGAGCCAGCCGTGCCTGCTACCAGGTCCCACATTCCAGAACAGCTGTAGATTCCGCCAAGCACCGACGTCGTATACGTTGACAAATCGCTGCGCTCCAAAGGAACGTGAGGGGGCGCAAAGAAGTCAGCAAGGCCCTTTGGAGGGCTCTGTCCCCATCTTGCTCGACCCACTTCTTCTCTCTGCTTCGCCACCTCTCTGTAGTGAGAATTGTCGCTGTTCTCCACGCTCGTCTCGCCCCAGGCGATGATTGCAATTTGCCAGCCAGCCATGACAGCCAGGGCGAAACCCATGATGGCACAGAGCGCAAATGTGAGGAGTGGGAAGAGCCTGGGTGTGTATTGGTACGGCCACTG